GCTGGGAGAAGTTTCCCTCTCAGTAGCTCAGTGCTGGACAGAGCCCTGTGAGCCCACAAGTGCATTCTCTTAGTACCTCGCAGAGTAACATAGGTTTCAACATTTTCTAGGAAGAGAACATTATCTCAGTTATTTTCCAGTGAGGAATATTCCTCCTGGTGTAGCATTCCTTTGTTACAGTTGCATCATATTTACCACTTTGTGTTCTTTAAACAGATATTTACTGCTTTTGAATCAAACAAGAAGGCAAAGGTTGTGGAAGCAGACAAGCTGTATACATTTATTATTATTATTTCTTTAACTTTTTATTTTATATTAGAGTATAGTTGATTAGCAGTGTTGTGTTACTTTCAGGTGTCAAGCTGTACACATTTAAATCAGGACGTCAAGCACCTTGCTCACCTTATTAAAACATGGATGTGTTTTTTAGGTCGCCGAAGGAATCTCTAGTATGTTCTGCCAGCGTTCAACCCTCTGGCTATCTAAGGCCGTGCTTTTGGCTTCTTTTTAACTCCGAGGCTGTCTTTGCTTCTTCCCGTTCTCAGGGTGCAGAAGCAGCCAACGTGACTGGCCCGGACGGCGTTCCTGTGGAAGGGAGCCGATATGCTGCAGATCGGCGCCGCTACAGACGCGGCTACTACGGCAGACGCCGTGGACCGCCCCGTAATGTACGCTGTCTTTCTCTCTAATCAGTGATTGAAGAAATGCACACATCTAAACTCAAGTGTGTATACTTGGAGCACATAAATGCTGTATCTTCTCCTGGAGACACACTGGTTTTTTTTTTGGCGGGGGGGAGACAGGAAGCTTTCATGTCCAGAATTTATCTATAGCTACTGGTCTTATGGGAAACTTGCCATTCAGCAGTTGTATCATTTTGTATGTATTTGGCTGCAAGGAACAGTCATTTAATTATCTTGTAACAAGAAGGCTTAATGAAGGTCGCTGTGCCAAGGTTGTCAAAAAGGTTTTCTCTTGCTTTGGCTCTTTTACCCAGCCAGAACCGCGTCATGCGGCATTCACTGGGAAAGGGGACCGGGATTCCTGTGACTGGCTTGAATCTGTTGTTCCTCCCTTGTTAACGTCTAAGAAAGTCAGCCTTTGGTTGGCAAGGAGGAATGGGGAACGGCTCAGGAATAAGTGATGAACAGTGCTGGCCACAGATATATCAAGTAATTTGCCTCAGTTACGTAGCTATTTTATTTAGCATAGCATCTCCCATCATTTCAAAGTAAAGAAGCAATAAATAATTTTCTGGATTTTTAGTCCTTTAGATTGGTACCAATCCAGGTGGAAGGGCTTACAACCAAGTCCAGCTGGAGTTTTCTTAGGAGGCTCAGTTTAAAGTATTCTCAAGGCAGCCAGAAAGACTCCCGTCCAGTTTGTGGTCATGAGGATCCTATTAGATGTGAGTCATTTTTTGATGTTTCTAGAGTTAGTACCTGGGATTGGTACTATGGAATAAAATCCGAACACTAAGTCTGTTTCAAGGATAAGAAGAAGGTTTAGCATCACAAGATGCTTTGTGAGCACAGGACTGTGGCTATGTATAACATCCAAGGAAAACTTTTGAAAAATCTCACCAGAAGAAAGGATTTGAAGATTGAGAATGATTTATCTCTACACTTTGATAGATTAATATCTTTCTGCTTACCTAGATGCTTCCTCTCTTCGTTCTGTCATCTTCACACGCAGCCCAAACTGATTATCAGATTCCTTATGACATCTTATTTTTCTATTTCTATATTTCTCTTACCCATGTTTTGCTTATCCTATGTGATTTTTAAAAATAAGCTGTGTAGGGGGTGGTAGATATGAGCTACCATAACATTTACTCTTTCAAGTTCACCAGATTCATGGAGTTCTAGTTGTAATTATTTTGATTTCTAGGTTAATTCAGAAGTAAAAGTGGGCGAAAACCTTTAGCAAAAACTTTCTTTGAAGGCTTTTCTCAGCTGGAAATTCTGAAGTCACGCATGTGAAAGATATTTAGAAATAAAATTATCAAAATTCTGAAAGTAAACATAAATGAAGGTTTTCTGTTGTGATGTCTTTAAGTCCTAACAGCTTACTGAGTATGTTTGGCAATGGTGGTGCCAATGTTCTTATTTTGTAGAACTTTTAACGAAAGATCTGGCTATGGAAGACTCAAGAGATACAGAAAACCTAAAGAGAAAACCTTACTATTTTGGTGAACATTTTCTATGCTAATATGTCTTTACATAATTGGGGATTGTACCTGATACAGGCTTTAAAAAGTGTAGAATGGCTTAGTTTTTCTGAAATTAGACTAGTTGAGGCCGTAGTTGAAGCTTTTCCTCTTTCGGAATTGAGTTGCCCACGTGAGCTTTGTTCTGGAGGGCTCTAAATCTTAACTATCCTCAACCCCAGTGTCAGTCATTTTATTTCGTTCATTTTAAATTTGTTCATTTTCAAAAATTATAGTTGCTTCCCTCAAGACTACCTTTGGCATAGCAATCCCCCTGTAAAGCAGGATTTGAAATAAAAAATTCTTTGAGGGGTGTTTAGCTGTTTGCTTATTATTTTTCTTTTTGATATAAAATATTAGTATGTGATATGGTAGTTTAAATACAGGAAAAAATATAAAGTGAGTCAGTACTTGCCTTTGTTAATAAGTTTATTATATTCAGAAACTGTCTATATTTATTACTTACTACTGTCTATTAAAGTGCAATTAAAACTTTATTCCTAAACATATAAAGAGAATCATGCCATAAGTCAGTGGTTCTCTTTTGGTTTTTGGACCCATTTATATGCTTAAATATGGGATCCCAGAGTGTTTGTTTATGTGTGTTTATACCTATTAATATTTATTGTATTAAAGTAAAGCAGAAATTTAAAAGATTTAGTTTATTTAAAATAAGCTCATTACTTGTAAACATAAATAATATTTTTTTCATGAAAACTATATTTTTTAACTGAGAAGAGTGGTGTTACTTTATGTGATTTTTTTGCAAATCACTGATCTCCGGTTTAATAGAAGACAGCTGGATTCTCACAGCTCCTGCATTGGGGCTGCCAAGGGGCCACGTGTCACTGTAGTTTCTGGGTGATTCCCCTCCCCCCCAACCTCATGAGTGAATGAGAGGGGAAAAGACAGATAGCATCTTACCAGCATTATGAGAATAGTTTGATCTCAGTAACCCCTTGGGAAGGGTTTCAGAGACCGCCCCCCCCCCCCCCCCCCCCGGTCAAAAAGGCCATCTCAAAAAAGTGTAAAATCCAGAAAGGCAGGACACCCGGCCATCCCTACTTTGAGAACTGCTCCAGGAAGCAAACCACTTAGGACCAACCTGTTGATAACACCACAAAACATATTTTTCTCGCCTTTTCCCCAGTGGATGGCCAATGTTGAGGGAGACACATTTGGTGGAGCTAAATATTCTAAACTTGTATATGTTTTTTGGGTGGCTGGTCAACTGATATACACGAATTCTAACTAGATGCGAACTAAATTCGTTAGAGATTGATTGCACTTGCCTTTCTGCTTCTTGGTATTTTATGTGCGCAGATCTCCTGGAATCTAAATGTGGTTTATCCCAGGTAATCACCTGATAATCTGGGTTAAATGCATTTTTGTCCGTCTGATAGAGGGGATTGTTCCTCTGGGGGAGAAATTGTTCTCTTCCGTGGACATCCACCCTACAGGGTACTCTTGGGTTCTCACCTTGCCGAAGCGTCTTCTGAATCTCTGTTTCCTTGCCTCGCTAGTGCGCTGGGGAGGAGGAGGAAGGGAGCGGCAGCGAAGGATTTGGCGCCTCCGCCGCTGACGGGCAGCTCGCTGGGGCCCTGAGTCAGCGGCGCCGCCCCCAGTACCGCCCCCAGTACCGCCCCCAGTACCCGCGGCGCTTCCCGCCTTACCACGTGGGACAGACCTCTGACCGCCGCTCCCGGGTCTTTCCCCAACCCAACGGAACGCAGGTAAACTTGCACCGGGGGCTCCTCTTCAGCGGTCCTCACCCCTCCGTCCGGCCTCCGCCTCCGCCTCCTCCTCCAGCACCAGTGGCCGGAAATCAAACCTAGCTTTTGGCTTCCCGATGCTTCCAAAGCGGACTAGGCGGCCTTCTCAGAGCAGGCATTCCAGTCACACTTCTTCAAGCACGACCACCTGGGCCGTGCCTATAACCGGGGGCGCTGGGTGGACAGGGTACAGTTCTAGTTTAGGGAAGAATGAGAGACGTAGAGTAGAGACCGCTGGCACGTGTAAGCGCTGAACCCTGAAGCCAGGCGGGCCTGGATTTGAATCTTGCCTCCAGCTGTGAGCTTTTGAGGTCGACGGTGGCCATCCATTGAATGGAGATAATTGCCTCACTGTGGGGTTGTGTTGATTAAATCAAAGGTAAAGACCTTAGTGTGATGCCTCAGGATGGAGAATGTCTCTATAAAGTCCTTAATTTAGATGAAATAGTGTTGATTATTAAGAAAACCTAACGCAGAGTGGGGATTGTTGATTCTCGATTGGTTCTCCTTTTTACTGCAAAATATTGATACAAGTATCATGAACTTGACCTGTAATTAATAAGCCTTTTAACAGCTTTGCAGTTCCCAGGAAACTTGGTGATCTCGGGATAGGACATCATTTTTGTTACTACCAGCTACAACTTCCTCTTAGTATCCTTGGTTTTTGTTGTTTCACTAAGTGTTTTGACTGAACATTATGTTCAGTTTGTTCTTTGCTGCCCTTTTCCCTTGCTATCATGCATGACTGTGTTCTTTCTACATGGCTTCTTGTTTTTTTTTCCCCTTCTACTCTTTAACAGCTGTCCCTGACAAATGTGCTAAAAATAACAAGTAGCCTTACATATATGGAGAGATTGGGTACATGAGGCATAGTAGGTTTCTTTAGAGGGCAGCACCCTGGGCCTCTAGGAAATGAGGACAGGAAGAGTCAGGGAGATTGTAATACACATTTATTTTTAGGGCATTAGTAGTACCTTCCTGAAATAATCCTTCTTAGTATTAGCATATACGTGTGTATCATACTCTTTTGAGAATATGATGATTATTTTCTAGATCGTTTGAAATAAAGTATATTTCACCTTAGGAATGGGAGGTTCAGAGCAAAGGGGTTCTTTGGTGCGATGCAGAAGAGCAAGTTGAAAACTAATTTTGAAAATGTGCATATTCTGGTAAACACATTTAGTTCTCTTAACTTGGGTTGAAATTCTTACCCATTTAATAGCGAACATGAAGTCTTCAACAGTTTTTCCTTAGAACCCTTCTAATACATACCATGTTTAATGTTCAGTGACAGAAGTTGGCTTAAGCCAACCAACAGCACCAAACGAAAATTCGTAAAACTTTCTTCTGTATAGCTTAGGCTACTTCCAGGTTGTCCATGTAATGGCTTAAAACTATGGAGAGATCTCTGAGATGGTAAAGGTTGTTGAGGTCAAGTGGAAAAGTCTTTGCCAGCATTTTCTACTATTGTATATACAAAACTGTGACATGTATTGGACACAACAGGAAAGAAATGAAAATATGCAGGCCAGTAGTATTTCCCTTCTGTACTGAGGACGTAATATAGCATGATATATCAGTGTCCAGAGGACTTCCATTTTTTTAAAGATAATAATTCTAGATACTTGAAAAATAAGTCGAATTGGTTACTGAGCTAAATCAGCTGTTTGTAGTCTGTGAGAAAAGAATTATATGACAGAGGAAAAGGAGCAACATTGTTTGGCATCCACCAAGGGACAGATGTTTGAAATCAGTTCTTAGTTTTCCCTACAGCTTTATGGAGTTGGCAGTGGTATCCAGATTTTTGTTGTTGTTAAAAATGAAGGGATTTGAGTAGTTTAAAGAATTAGCAACTTTTACCTAAGGTTACATGGGCAAGAAGTGGTAGAGCTTGGTTTAAACTCAGTCTGTCCAGTCTCTTCCCATTCTGTCATTCCAGTAAAGGCTTATCCTTCATACGTGTTCGTTGCTGTTTCTGTGTGTGTGTGCGTGTGTGTGTGTGTGTGTATCAGAGTTCCGGAGGAAGCAGCAGCTTTGCTTGTTCAGAGAAGTAAGGGAGGCTCATGTGTTTGGGATGGTGTGAGTGAAGAGAGGGGTGAGGTGAGATTAAGGTGCTATCTTAGGACGGGTCAAGCATGCTGGGTAGACCAAGATAAGAACTATTGACCTACCCCAAATGTGATGAAAAGCCAGTTAAGGGATCTAAATAGGGAAGAAACGTATTTGAGGAATCACTGGACAGTTTAAGGAGGCTAGACCATGGGGGGCAGCAGCAGAAGTAGGGAGACCAGCTGACATACTTCCCCCATGGAGAGGGGATCAGGGGGGCATGGATTAGAGTGCTAGCAGTGGAGGTGTGAGGAGTGGTCAGATTTCGGAAATGTTTTCAGCATGGAAGGGGCAACGTGCTGATGGGCTGAATGTGTGCTGTGAGGAGTAAAGGGTACCTTTGTGAAGAAAGACCAGGTTTGGGCGGAAACACAGAAGTCATTTGGAGATCTTCTCTTGGGCAGATCAAATATGCCGCACACACACACACACATTTACGCATGTGTAACTTACAGTGTGTGTATGTGCCTATGTATTTGTGTGTGTTCCTTATTTCTGCCTATTAAAATGGCCTGAAGTCAATGACATGTTAACAGCATTGAGCATGCCTGGCCCCCGATTTTTCATTTATAACTGTCATTCTCCAATAAAAAGAAGCCCCTCTGGAGAAACAGCTGATTTCGGAGCCAGGCCAGAGAGAGTACAATATGAGCCTGGAACATCTTGCTGTGCCAGAAAGCAAGGAAGTGCTCAAAGAATGCTGGAGACACGTCCAGTAGGCCATGAGCCAGCTGGAAAGGGTTCCCATTGGCCACTAATGATAGTAACAGATTATAACTCATTGAATAGCGTAGAAAACCATGAGTCTTTACAGATATAGACAAATAAATATATTGAATTTGATAAGGAGTGAAATATTTACGGACTTTGAAAGTACTTCACAAAATCATCATAAATTACAAAGGAGGATAGAGTAAGCTTAGCATGGAGGAGCTGTACTGGTGAACACTGTCAGTAACGGTACGGGTTGAAACCAAGTGCCGTCTGACTGGATGCAGTGAGAAGAATCCAGTGCCACTTTTGTGGCTTCCCTTCCAAAGGTGCATAAGCTACATCATGAGAAGACACCAAACAGCCCCAACTCAGGGCTATTTTACAAAATGACTGCTCCTGTAACCTTTAAAAGTGTCAAGGTTGTGAAAACCAAGTGAAGATTGAAGAACTGTTTAGATAAAGAGACAACTAGGTTCAAGGCATGGTTCCAAATGAGTCCCTTTGCTGTAAAGAACATTACTGGCACAACTGGTGAAACTCAAAAAAAATGGAGTCTGAGGATTAGAGTCTATACTTCCAGCTGTCCTGTAAGTTTGTGATTATTTAAAGAACAAAGTTGGAGAAGATGGGTGCTATTTCAGCAGGTTTATATGCCTGGAAGGAAATGACGGAGGAGAGAAGGGGGTGGGGGATTGAGAGTTCAAGTGCCCTAGCAGGCCAGAAAGAGGGGCTGGCTTTGGCTATGAGCATGGACCACTCAGTCAGTCTGATGAGAGAAGAAAAGGCAAATGCAGTTGGTTGGTAGATTTGATGGTGAAAGAATGTGGAGATTCTTCTCTAATTGCTTCTCTTTTCTTAGTGAAATACGGAGAAGGAAGGGAGATTACTTTTGAGGGGAAAAAGAAAAAAAGATTGAGATGTGGCTGTATTATAAAGAATTTCAGAGATTGTTGGTGGGTTTTTTTCTTTGTTTTTAGCTCTTTCTTCCCCTGGAAGTTCTGCAATATATTATTTCCCCAGCTTAAAATAAATTTCTCAAGGAAGGATATTTTATTTTTTTAATGCTGTACTTCAAAAAATAATGCAAACAGATGAAAGGAAAAAATTGTGAAAGGAAGAAATCATAGGTGAAGGTGTGGTGGAACCTTTGAATGTAGAAACCATTACCGTATTGAAGGGATACCCAGTTTGTAGAATGAGTGGGTCTGAGTTTGAAAAGATTCTCTTTGCCCCATTTCAGTACATCATTCCATTTCCTTTTGTAATAGAGGTTTTCTTTCAAGAGGTGAATGGAACACTTCAAAATTTTTAATATTGTAAAATAAATTTAGGCGTACTGGGGTAAGGCAAAAGACTGTCTAGTGGGAATGAGTCTTTCTTTCTTTCCTGTCATTCACACAGATCTAATCAGTACATAGTTCACTGTTAGAATTGAGAGTTCCCAGCTCCGTAATGAAGCCTTTTATTTTCTCCTTTTAAAAAAATTTCTGAAGGCAACTGTGTGCCGTGTCTCATATCCTGTAGCCTGACACTCATGTTTGGCTCTCCATGCCTCCTCCTAGGCGGGTGAGATTGGAGAGATGAAGGATGGAGTCCCAGAGGGAGCACAACTTCAGGGACCAGTTCATCGAAATCCGACTTATCGCGCAAGGTACCGTAGGTAGGTAACGTTTTCTAAGAGCTAATGACCGATTGCAGGACTTGTGAGCCACAGTAGGATGGAAGAGGACGTTGCAGGTCTGTTTTGTGGATTTATTATGTAATGAGAAGATGTGGCTGTTTGGACCATATGTCCAAGTTGTGGGAGGGGCTCTGCGATCCATGTTTTCACACGGCTGTGTGGCCTTCCCCCTGCTTAATGATTAGGATTTTTAGTTATCCCTGTACCAGAGCAGCATTTGCTTCTGAGAAGTTTCCCATGATGTAAAGTCATACTGGATTTTTATTATATTTAACGGGATAAGCGGAAATGAATTGATGGATCATTCATTCGGTGGTGGTGCTATGAATGGAGGGAGAGTTGGCTGCCAGCGAGTGTTTGGGACACTGAATATTCTGATAACTGGGGCGGTCTAATGCGGGGGTTAAATCAGCCTACAGATCATATCGTCTGTGTTTAAATCCCCACCCTACGATTAGCAGCCCCTGTGTAGCTGTATCTCCTCCAGCAAGTTTCAGGACTCCTCTTAGACTTAGTTGCCAGCTTATGCAGTGGACAGTAAGGGATATTCTACTGCTGTCAATAGGGTTAGATGTACTAAGGCGTTTCAGGTAATCAGTATGATGCCTGGTATAGTAAGCCCTCAATAAATTAATCGATTAGTACTACTACCAATATTGTTAAGGTTAGTGAAGGAGGGACGTCCTCGGTGGCGCAGTGGTTAAGAATCCGCCTGCCAATGCAGGGGACACGGGTTCGAGCACTGGTCCGGGAAGATCCCACATGCCACGGAGCAACTAAACCTGTGTGCCACGACTACTGAGCCCGCTCTCTAGAGCCTGCGAGCCACAGCTGCAGGAGAATTGAGAGTTCCCAGCTCCGTAATGAAGCCTTTTATTTTCTCCTTTTAAAAAAATTTCTGAAGGCAACTGTGTGCCGTGTCTCATATCCTGTAGCCTGACACTCATGTTTGGCTCTCCATGCCTCCTCCTAGGCGGGTGAGATTGGAGAGATGAAGGATGGAGTCCCAGAGGGAGCACAACTTCAGGGACCAGTTCATCGAAATCCGACTTATCGCGCAAGGTACCGTAGGTAGGTAACGTTTTCTAAGAGCTAATGACCGATTGCAGGACTTGTGAGCCACAGTAGGATGGAAGAGGACGTTGCAGGTCTGTTTTGTGGATTTATTATGTAATGAGAAGATGTGGCTGTTTGGACCATATGTCCAAGTTGTGGGAGGGGCTCTGCGATCCATGTTTTCACACGGCTGTGTGGCCTTCCCCCTGCTTAATGATTAGGATTTTTAGTTATCCCTGTACCAGAGCAGCATTTGCTTCTGAGAAGTTTCCCATGATGTAAAGTCATACTGGATTTTTATTATATTTAACGGGATAAGCGGAAATGAATTGATGGATCATTCATTCGGTGGTGGTGCTATGAATGGAGGGAGAGTTGGCTGCCAGCGAGTGTTTGGGACACTGAATATTCTGATAACTGGGGCGGTCTAATGCGGGGGTTAAATCAGCCTACAGATCATATCGTCTGTGTTTAAATCCCCACCCTACGATTAGCAGCCCCTGTGTAGCTGTATCTCCTCCAGCAAGTTTCAGGACTCCTCTTAGACTTAGTTGCCAGCTTATGCAGTGGACAGTAAGGGATATTCTACTGCTGTCAATAGGGTTAGATGTACTAAGGCGTTTCAGGTAATCAGTATGATGCCTGGTATAGTAAGCCCTCAATAAATTAATCGATTAGTACTACTACCAATATTGTTAAGGTTAGTGAAGGAGGGACGTCCTCGGTGGCGCAGTGGTTAAGAATCCGCCTGCCAATGCAGGGGACACGGGTTCGAGCACTGGTCCGGGAAGATCCCACATGCCACGGAGCAACTAAACCTGTGTGCCACGACTACTGAGCCCGCTCTCTAGAGCCTGCGAGCCACAGCTGCAGGAGCCCATGAGCCACAACTACTGAAGCCTGTTTGCCTAGAGCCTGTGCTCTGCAGCAGGGGAAGCCACCGCAATGAGAAGCCCACGCACCACAACGAAGAGTAGCCCCCGCTCTCAGCAACTAGAGAAAACCCACATGCAGCCATGAAGACCCAACGCACCCAAAAATAAATACATAAAATAAATAAATTTATTAAAAGAAAAAGATTAGTGCAGGAGTGTTATTTTATTTCTGCTTTATCCCTTGTGAAGACCGGATTAATGCAGGAGTGTTATTTTATTTCTGCTTTATCCCTTGTGAAGACTGGGTTGGGCTAGACTCCCTAAGATTCTTTTTAAGCTTTTTAAGCCTTCCTGTTCCTTTACCCTGTCCTTGAGGAGCTTCATTTCCCAATGACGTTTGTACCACCCTGAAGTGTGGCAATATGGGTTTATTGAGAGGCGAGTAAGTATATTATTTGGGGAAGGATTTGTACCACTCTACGTCTTCTTTTCTCCCAAGATTCATTTCAGAGTTAGACATAGTCATTCTAATGATTCATTACAAAGGACTTTGGAAATAAAAGAGGCTTCATAGAAATGTCTTCAGGAAAACAGAAAAAAGACAGTAGTGTATGTGAACCCCAACTCTGTCAATCTCTAGCTGTGTGATCAAAGTTGCATTTGACCTTTTTTGACCTATAAAAGCAGCAGTCCTTTATGGTTCAACCAGATACTTACCCTCTTTAAACGTCTTGGTTTTCTTACTGTAAATCTTAAACTCACAAAATTAGCCCTGAAATTAAATTAGATAATTAACGTGAAAACACACCAACACAGGCTTTGGCACACAGTGAGCGATGTTCGTTTGCTTCCCACGTCGAATCCCCTTAGACTCCACTGCATGCTGTCCATGGAGGGCAGATACGGGAGTGCTTTTCTTTTTTAATTTTTCCATCCTCGGTGCCTGTCAAAGTGCCTGGTAGGATCGTAGTGTATGTTCGGTATATGTTTGTTCACAGTGTTCAGGTGAAGGGGGAAGATGACAGAAAAATAGGGGTTTTTTACCACACCTTTGTTCTACTTGCCTGTGCATAATTCTAGCAGTAAGTCTTGATCGCTTGACTTTTTAATCTTTAAAAATAAAACCTGGGAATTCTCTGGCAGTCCAGTGGTTAGGGCTCCGACCTCTCACTGCTGAGGGCCCGGGTTCAGTCCCTGGTTGGGGAACTAAGATCCCACAAGCTGCGCAGTGCAGCCAAAATAAATAAATAATAAATAAATAAATAAAACCTGATGTTCTTGAGGGCATCTGTTCTCTTTTCTCCTGTGTTCTCTGCTCTAGGGGCCCTCCTCGCCCACGACCTGCCCCAGAGGTTGGAGAGGCTGAAGATAAAGAGAATCAACAAGCAGCCAATGGTCCAAACCAGCCACCTGCTCGCCGTGGATACCGGCGCCCCTATAACTATCGGCGTCGCCCCCGTCCTCCTATTGCTCCTGCACAAGATGGCAAAGAGGTGAGTCCAGCCAGCCAGAGGGGATGCTGCCGGATCATCCTTAATCATGTCAAGCTTTAGTATTCCCTTCTAAGAGTGGTTTTATAATCTGAAAACTGAGACTTAAAATGTGTATAATATGTATCATATATTTTTGTGTATAACATTGTTCATTTATATGTGTGTGTGTGTGTGAATAAATATATGTGTGTGTATATATATATATATATATATATATAGAGAGAGAGAGAGAGAGAGAGAGAGAGAGAATGCCCTGCACATATCACAAACCAAATATTTGAATTCAGCCAGTTAACATTCTAGCTAAAACGTTTAGAGCTTTCCAAACAAAAGACAGCATTTAGAGAGAGGAACCTGCTTCTCAGCACATGTTGGAAGCAACTGTATTTTTAATGGCTTTTTGCTATGGAAAGTGGTGGTGTTTAGTTGCCATTTGGAGGCCATTCTTCTGTGGTTCTAATTTTTTGCTCATACTTTAAGAGTAGTTAAGATTTTGCACAGTGATTTACCTTCACAGATCCCGACTTGTGAGACCTTTCAGTCTTGAACTTTCCACTGCCGTATGAATCAGTTAATTTCTGGTTTGTGGTTTTGTTGTGTTTTCAGACCAAGGCAGGTGAAGCACCATCTGAGAACCCTGCTCCAGCCCCCGAGCAGAGCAGTGTCGAGTAACATCCGGCTCCCCAGGCACCTTCACCATCAGCAGGTAGGAGCTCCGGTGGCCAGCACAGGAGCTGATATTCTCTTTAAGTAGCACTGATTTCTCAACAGTAGCACAGATCAGTCTCAACTAGTTCTGTAATTCATCTGGGCCAAGTTTCTGATCTCCATCAGGATTCTGGAGAAAGAGCAGCTTTGGTGGTAAAATATCTCTGAGGCTGATCTTATTTTACTAGGCATTGGGGACGCAAATATGCAGACAGAGTTAATGAGAGTCAAATTCATTTTTCTAGATAGACAGTTGTTAACTATTATCACCACCTCAGAAAACTTTAGAAAGTTTTACTTCTGTGACACCTCGTGGCCAATTTGATCATTTTAAAGTGCCTGACAAGGCCTTATTTTAATAACAGAGGACTGTGACCTGTAGGATAAACAAGAATGTGGTTTTTTTTCTTCCCTTTTCCCTTTGATAACCAACATTATTTATTTTGAGGCAGTGTGTATAGTTTGTGAGAGCCAGTGGGTTTATATATCCAGTGCAGGAGCTAGTAGTCATTTGCTCGAATGATCTTGAGCAGTTTATCCTCTGCAGCGGTACTATTCGGCTGCTGGTAAAATGATACTGACTAGATTCCCCACTAGGGTTGCTGCAAAGACTTAGTGGGATAACACGTATGAGTGCCTAAGCAGAACGTGGCAAAGAGTAACCTCTCCATAAAAGTGAGCTTGTTTTGGGCTTCCCTGGTGGCGCCGTGGTTAAGAACCCGCCTGCCAATGCAGGGGACACGGGTTTGAGCCCTGGCCCTGGAAGATCCCACATGCCGCAGAGCAACTAAGCCCGTGTGCCACAGCTACTGAGCCTGCGCTCTAGAGCCCGCGAGCCACAACTACTGAGCCCGTGTGCCTAGAGCCCACGCACCGCAACGAAGAGTAGCCCCCCCCTCGCCGCAACTAGAGAAAGTCCGCGTGCAGCAGCAAAGACCCAACGCAGCCAAAAGAAAAAAGAAAAGTTGGCTTGCTTTTCTTCATTGTTGCTTCCTGCTTTTTTTCTGTCTTCTTGTTAAAGATCCTGGACATTGTATTTATACAGGTGGAAATATACTAGAAAGACTGGCTCAGCGAGTCTTACAAGAATTTATAAGCCAAAGTTGGTTTCATCCTGGGTTTTTCATCTAATAAGTCCTGAAAGTTTAAGTTTTTAGTATTTCTTGGTTGTTGCCCTTTTCATTACATAAATAAGGACTTCGCTTTTAGTTGAAAGGCAGGTTGTAAAGCTCATAGCAGCAGTGTTATTTTTCCAAAAATTGTTCAGATTTCGTAAAATTTTGAGATCATTTTAAGTTTCTACTTTTTAAATGCCATCTGCTTTTATATGCAGAGGTTTGGGATTTCAATTATCCTTTCACTAGGTAGGCAATTGCTATGCTGAGAATATTCTGTTTTATCTCTGGGTAGCATGGATAGTTTATTATAGAAATAAATTCTGTATTCACACTTGCTTGCATTAACTGACGGAATTATAAATCATTTGGCCGTAAACTTTTTTACTTGGTGACATTATTTTTAGGTATTGCTCCTAAGGAAATAATCCAAAATATAGGGGGAAAAAATTTCTACTATTTACAATCTAATGTTGGAGAAGTGGTTAAATACTGCGGTATATCCATATTAGGAGATATTGTATGGCCACTAAAATGATTATGAAGAATTATCAATGCTATAGTATCATTTATTTGAAAAGGCTTCATGATGATAATTTTCTTTTCTAGAATTTTCTAGAATTTTTATTATTATGTACTGACTGTTCTAATTTGTAAAAATGTTTTATTAACTTTTCCATTAAATTAATGTTTCAGTTTACAAATCTATAAAAGATACACGGTGTAAGATTTTGTTTAGAGCTTTTGAAAATTGATTCTTTGAACTACATAAAAAACATAATTTTTGCCTTTTTATTCTTTAACTCTTGATCATCTTGTCACTCTTCATAAGTTTGATTTGAATTTTTTCCAGGTGACCTAAAGAATTAATGACCATTCAAAAAATAAAGCAAAAAGCAGACCGCAACCTTACCAACACCAAAGAAATGTCCAAGCAATAAAGTGGAAGACTAATAACCAAGACGTGGACATTAGAATGCTCACTACTATTCTTTACGAAGCAAACAGCTACACAAGGAAAGTGTCAGCCAGTTTTTCCAGCAGCTGAGATCCTGGGAATGCCTGCACGGAACAAGAGAGCAACCTCCCCGGTTTCAGCAGCCACTAGGTTTATATTTTTTTTCCTGGTTTTTACTGTTTTGGTAATATGAATTGAAAGAAGAAATATTAATACCACATGGGGAGACCCCCCCCCCCAGCCAAAGAAATCTAAAATATGTAGTAAATGCTTTTTTTTCCTTTTTTGTTCATTTTGGATGCTGGTGCTAAACTTCCAAGTGTCATGAGTTAAAAAGAAATTTTATGCCCTTCTTATTTATTTTGAGGTTGAGGGGAGGATAACATTTTGCTTTCTTATGTGACTCTCTTTGAAAATGTGCAGTATGAAATTCCTCAAAAATAAAATTTTTACCCTTGAAAGGAAAAGATGTATAGCTGAAGTATGTTTTCCTATCTCAGCTGGAGTTATTTTGTCTTTTTTTTGTTTTTTTTGGTCTTTTTTCGTCACTTCGTTCGCTGAATAGTAAGCTCAAAGCCAAATGTATAGGTGGAATAGTGCTCTTTAATAAATGTAGGCATAAGAGCTGAGAGCATAGGAATTGGGGTTATTTTTGGAATGAGCAAGTTCACATTGGAGTTCAGCAGTAGGCATGTTTAGTTTGGTGCTCTTAGCTCTTGACTAATCCTCGTTGAGATGGTTGATGACATTTTGGTTAACAGCTTCCTTTAGACTAATGAAGGGGTTAGTAGTTCTAATATCCTTGAACTTCTAACCACAGAGGTTTTCAGCACCAACTGCTGTATCGTGCTTATATATATGTGTCTTTCAGAAAAGAGGAAGGGGGCCTTTTTGCAACTGCACTACAAATTTCTTTCCCCAGGGAGTAGATGGTGCCCCTAGGTTGAGAGACACTACAGTATATGTCAATTCTGTTGAGTTACTTCTCAGATCCACTGCACCTTTCAAATTATTTATTCCCTAAATCAAGTACATACTTGAGCCTAGGCTTGCGCAAAGCACTGTTCGAGTGGCATAAACCCACAAAAGACCCGAGTCCCGCGGAGTTTGCGTTTTAGTGAGTGAATATAGAGAATCAACAAATATGTAAACAAATGTGAAATTTAATATCAGATGGCAATATATGTTATAAAGAAAAATAAAACATGGTAAGGGGCAGAGATTGGCATAATTGTGGGAGGTATGTTTATTTTAAAGGGGGGTGTCTTTTCTATAAGATAAGAGGATATATAAATGGAGTCCTGTGGTGAGAGATGGATAACCATTTGACTATCTGGAGAGAAGAACATTCCAGGCAGAGGGAACAGATGCAAAGACTCTAAGCAGGGAGCATACATGGCTTGTTTGAGAAATCACAAGCTGGAGAAAGTGGATTGTTCAAGAACCTTGTATTGCTTTGCAAGTTTAAAAAAAAATCAAAATTGGTAATATGCACAAGGCAAAAATGTTCAAAGATATAAAAAAGTATTTTATGAAATAAGTCTCCCATCTTAGTCCTGGTTCCTTCAAGGCAGCCAGTTAGCATGTTTTAAAAACATATATCTGAAACAGATATGTTTTGTGCGTGAGTCTGTGTGCATGTGTGTGTCCGACCAACTAATGTGAATTTGGGGAGACGGGGTCTTAATTGTCTCTAACGAGACTTATACATCTGTTGTTATAATTCTGTAGGTAACTTTACTGCCCGGCTGTTTGCTCTCTTTTCTAAGTTTCCCCTTTTCTCTGCTCATTTTAAAACAATTTTATTATTATGGAGTATTTCCAATACATTTTTAAATGTTTTTTTAAAAACGTACCATATACATTTGGGCCCTGAGATTTTTTTCCACCTAATATCTTCCCTCTTGTTCCATCATCAGTGTATGTAGAGTCCTCTTATCCTTTGTACTGGCTCCATAACTTTGTATTGCATAGTTCTTCATACCTTTGTCAGTCTTCTGTTATTGGGTATTGAAGGTTTTTCAACATTGCAATTATAAACACTTTGTCATTCCAACACCCTTACCTCTAAATACCGCCATCCATCAGGGTTACAGCTATTCTATTTCTAGAGAAAAAAAATGTAGCAATGAGTGCAAAGAGTTAGGGAAAAAAAGTCTTAACTTTGGTAGTGTATATAATTATAACCCTAAAACACACTGGTTGGAGCTACAGGAGAAAATACAAGTTGGATGTGATTATGAGGATGGGCCTGAAGTAGGTTCTTTTACAGCACAAAATCAGGGACTTGAATTACTTTACCAAGAGACACACAGTCCCTGGGTGGGAGCACAGCTATAGAGATTAACTAGAGCCTGTCATACCGTGATTACACATTAGCTGTGATCGGTATTCATTTGAAGCTCCGGAGTTTTGCATATTTGCAACAGCACCTATTGGGAAAGTAGCCCTATGCAACTCAAAATGATAGAGTGCCTGCCTGCTATGTGCCAAGTGATGCTGGGTGTTTTCACGTCACGAATATATCAGTTGCAATCAGCATTATCGGGATTCCTGCATTTATTGCACAGAGGCAATTTTCGAAAGTACTTTTGCCCTTAGTGGATTGAAGAAATGTGTTTATAAAGACTAATACTTTGAGATTTTGAAGTAATAAAGTTCTTTGAATCTTAGAACTGACGCATTAAATCCAAGAGCTCGTACTTGGTTTCAGCTGAAAAGAGGAAAAAAATCTCTTGACTTTAGAGGAATAATTGTATATATTATGGCATGAATGTCTGGTTTAATAGGAAAAGTCTAGAAAGGAAGCAGGTGCTGATAGAAATCTCGGAAAATTTGGTGATCTTGTCAGTGGCAGTGGTAAAGACTTCATCAGCTTTGTGACTTTCTCA